GAAAGATCTTAGCAAGTCACATGGCACCTGAGGCCAGTCTACTTGAATAAGATTAGCTGTGAAGACAGCTAGTTTAGGAGTCTTCTGCCACTTGTTCTGCAACTGGCACCCGCATTTTCAGGTAAACACAGTCTTGAACCATGCTAGTGGGAAAGTGGTGGTCTGTATTCATCAGCTAATGGGGTTTTATTTTCAACTAAGTATTGCCACTATAATGCCATATAACATTTCATCCCAAAACTCAATGGGTTAAAACAATAAGCATTTATTTTGCCCAGAAGTCAGTGTTTTAGACCGGGTTTGGCTGTACAGTCCTGGTCTTGACTGGCACCCTCATATGCCCTGCAGTTTGAGGACTAGCTGATGTGGTGTGGCCTGAGCCCCAACAAGTGGAACAACTCGGCTCTTGCTCTGTGTGTCATCTTTCAGCAACCTCGCCCAGGCATGTTGTCATGGCAAAAACAGAGGTGCAAGAGTGGGAGTGGAAACACCAAATGCTTCTGTCACAATTGCTAAGGTGTCATGAGCCAAAGCAAGTCTCAGGTAAGTTTCAGAGTCAAGGGTGTGGAAGTTTATACCAATTGCTTGGAAGAGTTGTAGCGGGTACGGCCACAGGAGGTGGGAAGGGTTGGGGCTATTAACACAATCAAACTATTATATCCACATACCTCATTTCTCCACCATGACCAAGAACACTGGGGGTAATATGATCTCTAAGGCCCCTCCCAGCTCTGGCATTTTTCAGGTCCAGATGAAGTCCTAATAGGACTTAAAACAGATTTCCATTCATGGTTCCTGCAGAGGGCGCCAAATGCAAACCGGTATCTCCTGTGGGCTTGGCAATTTCGTCTATTAGCAAGTATAGTTGACTTCCCTCCTATCCTTTACCAAAAGCATAATTCCATTAATCTATTGCTAAGAAACAACCTACCCCAAAACGTAGTAGGCTAAAACAGCAACATTTTATCCCATGGAATCTGATGGTTAGGAATTGGCTACGTAACTCTGTTCCTCATGGCTTCAACTGAGGTCACTTTGGTATTCAGCTGGCAGTTGAGCTAAATCGAAGAGTCCACGCTGGCTTTATTCACATGTCTGGCACCTGGATGGGGATGGCTAGAAGTAGATTCATCTGAGACACCAACCACAGGTCTTTATAGCCTCTCCAGCATGGCTGTATAAGGATGGTCACCTTCTTCCATGATGGCTGGCTTCTCCTAGAATGAGTGTTCTGGCCAGTTCCATGGCCTTTTATGACCTAGCCTTGGAAGTCACACTGCATCATAACCATACTATTCTATTGGTCAAAGCAGTCAAAAGCCCACCTACATTCAAGAAGCAGCATAGACTCCACTGCTGTTAATGGAAGAATATCAAAAGTCATTCTATTGCCCCACCTTTCTTCTCTCTGCTCTTTTCATCAAAACTGCCAGGGTCCTCAGATAAGCCATTGGAAACTGTCTTGAGATTTTAGTGTCTTTACACAAAGCACCTTTTCTACAAAGGAAGTAGGTGGTGGAGCAAGGGGAAATAGATGGCAGAGAAAACAGCTAACTTTTTCCTTTAATAAGATAATGTAGTGTTCCTTGGAGAGTTGTGGTTGAAAGAACTCAGAGTGGACTCCTAGCAAGCTGCTCAGAGGAGAGTAATGTGAGTTCTCTTTCTCCAGTTCTCAAGTGGAGTTGGGTTAGGTGGGAAGTCCTTGTTCCATCACTCTTGTGTGACTTACAACTCTCAGAATGGGTATGAAGGAAAATGCAGAACAACCTCTGGGCCCATGGTGGCCACGGTGGGCTGTTTAGGTGTAACAGTCTCCATGGTGAATGGCCAAGGGCCATGAGTGATGAGATGATTGTTACTACACAAGTGGGAGAGCTGACTTTCATTGGCAATTTAATTGGCTCACTCCTCTATGGGGAAGGACTGAGACCAGATGACTCCCAGGAAGCAGTCATTGAGGCACAGGCTGACCTATTAAGTTAATACACTATAGAGGGGCCCACTTGTCACCTGCTTTGCTTGGAAACTGTTGCATCAATGCTCTATTCACTTTCTGCCTAAACTCCATTCTTCTGCATATCCTATCACCATCTTGTCTTTCTTGGTTGGATAAGGTGCTCACGGTTCTCAGGTAGTTTGGTCTCCCTTCAAGTCGGGAACCTACCTCAGTGGGTGTTGTTCCTCCTGGGTAGGCTGTATCAGGTGGGCAAAGAGGGTGTGAGAAGCATAGCTCATGTTTACTCTTTTGAAATAAAGGCTGTGGTCCAAACAATGGTCAAAAGAGACCTCATGGAACCAGCCCCAAAGGGAAAAGAAAAATACTTTAGGGTCTCCAAAAAGAGGATTGATTTGGACTGAGTCACTAAATAATAAGTGACATAGATGAAATCCAACAGTTTCAAGTTTAACAATATTAAATTAAAACTCACTACAACCTTGGAATAAGGAGCTATTATTCCCAGTTTACAGAGGAGAAAACAGAGACCCAGAGAAGGTAAGTAAACCATTCAGGGTAATACAACAGTGAGTTAGTGACAGAGCTAGGCTTCCCATTTGGAAGTGGGAATCCAATCTTCTTCTTTTTTCATAGGTCTTTCTTGACCTATGGCACTCTACTGAGAGTCAGCCTGTCTCTGAGTGGACCTGTCAGCAGTCAAGAGCTTTTGGATGTGGGCAGTCTTCCCCAGCAGCTATGTGCCTATTACTGCCAAAAGAACAAGTAAACTCAAAAAGAAGGCTGCTGCAATGGACAGTGTGTGTACTCAGCTCCCACTACTCCTAATATCACTCCCCAGTTTGCAGCCCAGTAGCCACTCCTTCCCCATGCATCCTCCGTGCTTTAGAACATTACTTGGGGATACATGTGAAGGATAATATTACAATCTCTGCTACCATGGGTTCAGGAACACTTTCTTTAATTCAATTGGCAGATACCATTCTCTTGATCCTTCAGGAATAGGCACTCGACCCAAAATAGACCAAGCAGACTCAAGGAAATATTTAGTCGGGCCACTGCAAAGTTCTTGAGCGTCAATGGAACAGATATTCTCTCTTCTTCTGGATATTGCAAGGTGTGGCTGTAACCTAAAACTGCAGCAATCAGCTCATGACCACAGAAGGATCGAATTAACAGGGAAGAGATGCAAATATCTGAGAGGACAGCAGAAAAATGAAGTGGAGGCCTTCATTGAACCACACCTGATCTCCACCCCACTACTGGACTCTAAGTTGGGCAGCCGAGCTGGTGGAGTGGCTCAAGTGGTAGAGTGCTTGCTTAGCAAGCTTGAGTCCCTGAGTTCAAACCTCAGTATCGCACCCCCCCCAAAAAAAAAGTTGAGAGCCAATAAATACCACCTGTGGTGGTACTGGATTGACACAGCCTCATTTGGTTACTAACTGCATTTCTAAAGACCCTGTCATATTTTCAGCCACCATGTGACAGCTTCTGCAGCAGCTGAGGGAAACCATTACCACTGATGGTTCCCTGTCAGAACTAGAGGGCACAGTCCATACTCGTGAGCTGTTAAGAGCTGGAAGAAAATCCAGGGGAAGACATTCAGGCTATGAGAAGTGATGTACCAAGTGTGAAGTCAGGTGCCTGGATTCCCAGTGAAGCGTTCTTCCTTCCATACTGTAGCCCTTCATTGAACCTCCTAGACAGAAAAATCATCTTGAGAAATATCTACCTGGCCCAGGCAAGCTCTTGGTTACCTATTCTGTGGCGGCCTGACCTACTTACAGGGCCCCCACTTCTGTTCAGGGGTACTGTGTTCCCTACTTCATGGAGTTAGCATTTCAAGGAAGGGCTTAGGGGATACCTGTCTTCCCTGATCTCTTAGCTTTCTATTTCACAATGCTAAAGAATATATATTCTTTAAACATATAATTTTGAATCCTTTCATGACCTGATCCTGTCAGAACCCTCCACTGAAATAGCTGGAGCAGACCCACCCCTAATACTGTGGGATCTAGTGATAAGCACAGACACATAATAAATGTCTGAATAGTCACATTATGCTCAAATTAACAAACTATTGATTACCTTTGTGTTATATCTTCTTACCTCAACAAATATACTTTCATAAAGACCAGAAGGCCATATATGTATAATTTGGATTCCACAAAGTCCTGTGCAGCATTTGGAAACATAAGGAGAGCATGGTCTAGCCCCCAGCTTGACTGCCTTTTTTCACTCCCTGGCCCATCCCACACTGAGAGGAGCCCTGTGTGCTCCCATGGAAAACCCAGCCTGCATGTCCAAGCTCCACCTGTAATCCTTACAAACAACTTTTGCCTGGCCACCCCTTCACCAGGGGTGTGCACAGATCACACTCAGGAGGACGGATATAGGGAAGAGGCCTGCACAGGCCCCCGAAGCAGGCTCAGAACTTCTTGGGTACCTATGGTTTCCTAGGAACCTGGAAAGCATGCTCTAGGAACAGGGTGTGTCTGAGCAGGCATTTTACCTCAGCTCCACAGCCCCACAGACCATCAGGCCCACCAAGGTGTGGAGGACAGGGTCCCTCTCAGTCAGACCTATGAGTAGTAGTAGATTCCCATCCTGGCCTAATCAAAATCCTAAAGCAAGGGTAGCGCAGGACTGGGCTAATAAGAGTGAGCTTTGTGAACCTGGACAAGTCCCACCACCTTTCTGGACTTCAGTTTCCTCTCTTATTCCTATGGGGACCGGAATCCTCCCATATACTATGCAGCAATACTGAAACACTGGCCTATCACCCCAAGGAAGAGTGAGCCACAGCGAGGAACTGCCTATTTCTTGATTTCTCATCCAGAAGTCCCAGTGCGGTAATGGAAGCAACATCGTGGGACTTGCTATAGAGGCCAAGGGACCCTCCCTCTGAAGATGCCACCCGTGGGATAATGTCAGATCAGAAGACATGGTTCACCTACAGACCGCTGGTGACCTGCTGGGCCAGAAGCTCCTTCCTGCTGAGTCCCTAGATTCAGGCTCATTGAATAGCTTTGAACAGCAGGCCAGGGGGCGTCCTTCCATCTGGTAACAAGGGGAAAACCCTAGAGATGTCTTTCCTAAATGAAGCCATGCCCCACTCAGGCAAGATGGTGACAAAAGGCAGCTCTAAGACATGCGGGATTATGAGCCTATAGAAAAGGAAGAGCTCTGGCACACATACATGAGCACAAGATGCAGTCACAAAATGGGGTCACAGAGCACTCCCAAAGTCAGCAGGAAGCAAGGAGATGGAGTCCAGGATAGAAACAGTCTCTGCCCAGGCTGAACTCAGCAGTGGGCCCTAGACCAGGAAAGCCAAGATTCTACTTAAGGACAATGAAACATCAATACCTCCCCAGGTATAGGCTGTGGAACAAGTCTCCTGAACAGGAAATAGTCACGAAGGGCACGTGCAAGACGAGTCAAAGTTCAGAGAGATCCACAAGGTCATGATGGTACCAGGGATTTGAAACTACAAGAGTCCTCCCTTTGGGAGCCATCAAGAAGATGAAGGCTGCCGTTGTGCTACTGCTCACACGGCAAGCAACTCACCCAAGCCTCCGCCCCCTGCTCAGGGGTAAGCATGGGTCTTGTGGCTTTCTCAGCACTTTTTCACAGTTGGGTCTCTTCCTGGGGAGCCACAACCACACGAGGCTGGTCTGGTCTCTGGTCAGCTGAAGTGTCTCTCAGCAGGTCCAAACCTGTGAGCCACACCAAGAGAGAGCAAGCTCACTTTCCTGCTGTGTGGCTCTCAGGAAATGAGAGACCTGATAGCTGGCTGCTCTGGGCAAGAATGAAGGTATGGAGGTCCGAGGAGCAGCAGAGAAGCCTGAACACCAGGCTCCCAAAATGAGATCAGAACAAACTACAATAGTTGCCTCCAGTTTCTGTGTTTTCTAACAGTGCTAAGCCAAGTCCATGGCCTGGGCCAAGGATATTCCAGAAGAGAGAGGGCATCAGAGCCAGCTGTTGGCCGGATGGTAGAGATGGGGAACAGGTCTCAGGGTGGGCATATGGAAGGTTTCCGGTACTTTGGATTAAGACAGGATGCAGTGGTCCTAAATTCTTCCAGTCAAAAACATGTCTTAGCAGCAAGAATTCATCACTGTTTTGTCACACTAAGATTGATGGACACTGGCCCAGGAGAGTACAAGGCCAGCTTGGTGAAGGTGGAGGAGCTGCTGCCAGTCATGTGGGCTGCAGCCCACCTGCTCCTTATGGCCCTCACGTGAAGTAGCGGCAGGGTGTGGAGTCAATGTAGCAGTACTGGGTACACCGCAGGTCTCCGTATGACCTGAGGGAGGCAAAGACACTGATCAGGGCAGATATCAGGCGGTAAGTAAGAAGCTCCCGCCTAGCTCTGTATGCAGGCTCTAAAACGCCATCTCTGGTGACTGTTAGTCCAAATGCATCAAACAGCTACTGCTGCCACCTCACCAAGGGCAGAGGGTTCTAGGAAAACTTTCTCATTCCCATTTAGGGTATGGGGCTTGCGGGAGTTGAGTCAGGTCTCTGGTTTTTTTTTTTTTCCCTTGAACCAGAGTTGAAGGAATTGTTAGCCCGTCTCTTAACACAGCATCTACAAGACAATTGCCCACTTTTCAAGGCCTGAAAAGTTGAGTGCATTCATGAGAAAGCACAGTATTGATGCAAATGTTTTATATCTATGTAAGCCAAAAGGGCAGCACTGGCCAGGTATGGCTATTGAGCTCTTGAAATATGGCTTGTGTGACTGAAGAGCTGAATTTGAATTTCTAATTATTTTAAATTTGGGTAGCCATATCTAATGTTGGCTTCTTCATTGGACAGTACAGTCTATACCTCTGCAAACCAAGTAATAATCCTGAGACAGTGTCTCATACACAAGCACCCTCAGGGGCTTCCAGGGACTAGGGAAGTAACCACAGTGAACCACGGCATAAGCCCTGGCTCCATGTCTGATTGGCTACACTCGGTTGTCCATGGAGCCATTGAGAAGCTCAACCTGGCCAGCTCTGGCAGGCAGGAAGCAGTACACACAGACACATACGTGGAGCAGAGTCCTGCCCAAGCTTAAGCAGACCTGGATTCTAGGTGTGACAAAAGGTGGGCTGATATGTGTTTGGATGTTGAGGGACCAGAATCGGGGCAATAGAGAGAGATAGGCATGGTGGCTGTTTCCCAGCACTGCGGAAGGCCTGGATCTTTCCCTGTCAGAAGAAAGGGCTGGAAGCAAAAGCTGAGGAGGTTGGATTCATGAGGGATTCAAGAAATCTAAGAGGCCAGCAGACCCACTCTAGAGTCCAGGGAAGAGCAGGACATGGACTGAGAGGGAGGGAATAGCCTCCCTGTTTTCCCTAGAACATTTTCAACTCTGGTTCTGTGAGGATTAAGGGGAACATGGTGCCATTTTGCACTAGGAATCTATATTCTGGGTATGGATTCAGCACTTCATGGGTCCAGTACCCCTCAGGTGGTTTGGGAGGTGCCAATGTGGAGGCCAGGACACTTGTCCTGAGCAGCATGAATACCCACTGAAGGGAATCTTTTCTGGGGAGGACCATGACTCAGCAAGGTTATATAATAACGCTGGTCTGATCTCACTTGGGCCCACAGGCCTGCCCAAGGTGGGCAGGGTATTCCAGGAATTCAGGTTGTATAGACACACTGAGACTGTGAGATGCCCTGGCACAGCTACCCTCCACTGGTTTTCCTCCCAGACCATGGCACAGGACACTGATGTGGCCATGGTATCCATAGGGGATGACTAGCCAACTCAGAGACTGCCACTTCTCTCTGAGCCCAGGACAGAGTTGGTGGCTGTGTCTGCCTGAGTTCAGCCTCCAGGGAATATGGCTGCTCTGAGGTCACACGGGAAATATGTGACTACCACTTGGCTCCCATTGAACAGAAAGTTCTAGACCATGTGTCTAGAAAAAGCCATGGACATGAGAACCACTTGAAAATATTTGTGAAGGAAGAGACGGGGAGGCAGAAGTGGGAAAGAGAGGAGAGGGAGGTGTCATAATTGCACATGATGCCTTCCCTACCCAGGGAGATAGGTCTCGCACGTCAAGTAGCCAAAGTCAGAGCCATCACAGTCCTCCACGCCCTCGTGCCGGTAACCATCTCCACAGTAGGCCCGGTGACAGCCTAAGAGAACACAGAAGTGCAGCCCTGAGAAGTGGCAGGGCAGGACAGGACAGGCTTGCCTCAGCCTATAAGGACAGTGTGGTCCAAATTATCCTTGCCTCCCCCCAAACAGTACACCCATCTAGAATCAACCTCAGCTAGGCTTCAGACTCACCAGGGCCTGTACTGCAGACTCTAAGTCCATAGCAACATGGTCTGGGAAAAGGAAAAGAAGCCCCAGGCTCTGGTTGTGTCATTTATTGGCTGAGGGACAGGGAACCTCCATGTCATCATCTACAAAACTAGGACACTGGCACTGCCTCCCACTCACGGGATCACTGTGGGGTTCCTGTGAGGTGAGGTGAGGTGAGGTGAGGTGGGAGGTGGGAGACTGAGGCATTAGGCCCCAGAGAGGGTGCATGATGATTCTATCCATTGGCAGAGAGTTGGGGTGGTGGTACTGGGGGCCCAGCTTATTTCCTTGGGAGCCACAGGATCCTCCACAAAGACCTCTATTCTCACATGAGAATAGGACTCCATTCACATTTTAATTTATGTATTTGTTTATATATATATATATATATATATATGTCTATTTTTTTTTTTTGGAGATAGCATCTCACTACGTAGCCCAGGCTAGCTTCGAACTCTCCATCCTCTAACCTCTGCCTCCCTGGTGCTGGGATTACATGAGTGAACCACTGCCCTAGCCCCACCCTCATTTTTTCAGAGCATAAAGACTCCACGGGCTGCCATCCTGGGAGTCGTTGGGGGTCAATATAGCTACAATGTGAAATCTGTAGCATCTCCCCTATGCCCACCCCTTGGTGCATAGTCATCCTCTATGCTGTCACCTTCCCCTGAACTTCTGGAGGGTAAGGACTGTGACTCTGCAGCCACATACACCCAGTCTTGACCCTGAGCACCCCAAGTCATGGATGGATTCAGTGAATGAATGCTGAACCTAACTACACCCAGACAAGCCACATATAAGTCAGCTCAGAGAGTCTCTAGAGACTTGAGTTGCCAGCATGGCATACCCATTTCACAGTCCAGGAGAGTGAGGCCCTCCAGCCTGAGTAAGGCTCTCTGAGCCTGGTGACAAACAGAGCTTGCATTCAAACTCTGTTCTGACTCTGAAAACTATGCTTTCTACCTTACCGCCTGCTTTTGTCACTTGGTTAAAAAGTATATAAAAGCAAACCCTCTAGCTTTGCCTGCCTGCTTTGGCACAGTCCCACCAGCCTGGAGGTGGCACTGGTGGCCCAGCTTCCCATAACAGTGATTGCTATTTGAGTACACATGGATAAGGGTCCTGACTCCTACTATGGCCTCTCCCTTTTGCCTTTTACTCCTGTGTACAAAGTGAAGGCCCATCACACCATTTTTGTCTTTGAGCCTGGAACCTATCCCACTGACATGTTTGAATGTGGAAGAATTAAGGTGTGGCCTGAAATTGGGAAGGAGGTTCCCAAGGCAGACTGGGGATACCCCCTCTGGCCCTAGAATGTCCCAATTCCCCACAGCTGGTGTCCAGGGTTTGCTGATCCCACCCCACTGACTGGTCAGGCCTCATGTCCTCCCAGGTTGGGCCCTACTCACTGATGCAGTCGTCACCCACGTCTTGGTTGCCATCGTCACACTCCTCTCCAGGCTGCAGGACCCCATCCCCACAGGTTCCACGCTGGTCTATGGTGTAATCCACAGGGTAGAGAGGGGTCAGCTGTCCAAAGAAACACACATGTTAACTTAGGGGCACTGTGCCCAGGCAGCTGCAGGGCAGGAAGGTCACTGGTACTGGAAACAGATGCTCTGGGCCAGCAGGCATCCTATAACTTCCTCCTGGGCCACCAAGGAAGTACTCCTTTCTTGTCACCCACCAGAGCTCTGCAGTCAGCAGAATGCTGGGGCCAGTTAAGCCAGCATTTGATGGTACAGAACCTGCTTGAGGATCTTGTCTTAAGAGGAGTTTCTATTTGGGAATGGGGACATGGGGAGAGGGCTGCTCAGGAAAAGTATGATAGAGGATGGTTAGCCCTTTGGTACAGACAGACTGCAGAAAATCTAACCAGGTCCAGCTATTTGGACCTTCCTGCATTTTTTAATTTATTTTTTTGGCAACACTGGAGTTTGAACTCAGGGCCTCATGCTTGCTAGGTAGGCACTCTACTACTTTAGTTATTTTTCAGATGGGGCCTCAGAACATGATCTTCCTACCTCCATCTCTGAGTAGCTGTTTATAGCATCCATCACAACTCCCAGCTTATTGGTTGAGATGTGGTCTTGCTAACTTTTTGCCTGGGCAGGCTTTGAACCTCAATCCTCCTGATATCTGCCTCCCAAGTAGCTAGGATTACAGGTAGGTACCACTGCACCCAGTGTCCTTCCCTTCCTTTAACGGGTGTGTCCCTCTCCTGGGCGGGGACAGGTGGGTGATATCTTGAGGGCCCTGCCCCAGAAGTACCTGGATGGGGAGCCAGCCAAGGCTGTCCTTGAAGTACAAAGATCTCTGGTCTCTGCGGAAGGCAATGGCATTTTGAGTGTTCAGCCTTTCAAGCTCCTCCTGGTTGTTGACCACAAAAATCTGCCAGAGAACACAGTGGTGAGGAGCCCAGAAAACACTTGTGGAGGAGCACGGAGAGTTGGAGGAGTGAGCAGTCTCTGGGCTTGGACTGGATAAACGTGGGGAGGGGAGCCACAGAGGACACTGTCACATTGTTTCTGAATAGCGAGGAATTCCCATACCACCTTAATCCAGTTCCTAATGTCTGAGTTTGCAATCAAATACCCACCATGATTTAAGATGTTTAAACATGTTAAATGCTCCCAAGACTTAAATTTAAAAAGCAATGTCATATAGTTAAGCAAGTGATTCTTCAAAACGGATCATACTCAAAGATGTTCACGTTAGTATTGTCTCCATCAGTGAAAAGCTTGGGAACCCCTATAAATACCTAATGCTAGGACACTAGCAAGTAAGTCAGGCAAAAGCTGCATGGACACAGGTGCATCCACTGAAACCATGTTTAAGATGAATTGACATCCAGGGTTTACTTCAAAATAATCAAGGGAGGGTGGGCAGTAGAAAGTAGGCATAAAGAGAAAAGAACACAAGGTCAGCCATGAGTTGACTGTTGTTAAAACTGGGATTGATTACATAATTTGTCCTGCTTTTATATTTATTTGAAAATTTCTGTGGTAAAAGTTTAGAAGGACATTTATAGTGTGGCAACATGGTGGAGTTTCAAATGAGATAATAAGAGCACAAAATTTTAATATAATATAATCTGAACCATATCAAAGTTAAAACAAAGAAAATGCCCCCCAAATGGGCCCCACAACAAAATGGACAATTTGGTTTTCTTCTTTTGATTTCCCCCTATTTTGCAACTTTTTATCATGAGGGCGTTCCTAGTGCAATGGGGAAAGTAAATTTTACTATAAGAACTCCATAAAAGCCCGAGAGGATCAGGTAAGAGGGCCTCACATGCACCCACCCGGAAGAGCCTTACCACAGGGACTCGCAGGGAACTGGGCCCATACATGGATTCCCCGTAGGAAGGGTTATTCACATTCATGGGGGGTCCACACAGACATCTTCCTGGAGGCCCTGGAAATCCTCTTTCCCCTTTGGGTCCCATTATAAATTGTCCTAGGAAGCAACAGACTGCTGTGTTACTAGAGCTGTGGAAGAGAAAATCAAATAGTCCAGGGAGATGTGAGCAACCTGTGCAGCAGAAAGAAGGGTTAGAGTCCACAGCGTTTCAGGGTAGGCCTGGGGAGAGGTTCAAAGACAGGATGCTGATCCAAGCTGTAGAGGAGATAAAGGGAGAAGTAGTTGGTAATAGGTAGAGCTCCCCTCACACCACATCCCATTCCTGCCTTGAAGACAGGCAAGATACCTGGTGCCACAGCAGCCAAGTTGCAACCATCAAGTAACAAGCACAAGAACAAAAGTCGACATGCAGGAAGGACAAGGGGCTCATGGGGCCTAGGCCCTGACGGTGACATTAAGACTGGAACAAAGCCAGCCACTGCCTGCCTATGGATTTCCTTGTTAGAGAAAAATAATGCCCTATTTGTTCAGACCATTATTAGTAGAGGGCTTCTTGCAGCTGACACATTGCTGATGGATAAATTTTATTATTTTAAATTTTTTCTTATATAAAGGATATTTACAGAGGAATTTCTGGATGTGGGTTTCTATTATTTCTCCCAGAAGAAAATGGAATATTTGTAAACTCTCAGCTACTTACTCTCCCTGGTACAGAGAGAAGTCAGGGACCCATCCTGAAAAGATATCAGGAAATTTACTGCCTAACCCTATGGCAGAAGTAGTTCTCACCTTCATTTTTAAAAATTTATTTATTTAAATAAAAATATGGGGTATCATGTTGCCCAGCCTGGTCTTAAACTCCCTTGCTCAAATGATTCTCCTGCTTCAGCCTTCCAAGTAGCTGGAACTCTGTACAGATGTGAACTGCCATACCAGCTTCATCTTGACTTTTAAAGGCCCTGGCTCCCAAGACACACCCCAGAGCAGTCCCATCTAGACTTCTAAGAATAAAATCTAGGCATCCATATTTTGTCTCCCCTTTGTGTCTGGGAACCCGGATCTTATGCATGCTAAGCAAGTGCTCTACCACTGAATTACATCCTCAGCCATTAAGATCAAACCCAGGCTGAGCACTTTTCTAGCCCTAAGCACCCATCCTGAAAAGCTCTCAAGATGTTTGCAACATGCACCAAGATTGAGAATCACTGGTCCAGAGCAACAGTATTTCCCTCATAAGATCATCTCCCTTTTCCTTCATCCTTCTCTGCTCAGGGGCCTCCTAACTCCCTTCTGTTTGGTTTCAAACATCACTTCCTCAAAGACTTTTTGAATATTTCCTCTCCGTTACGTTCATCTCAGATACAGTTTTATTAGTTCCTTATGTCTCTTCTTCATAATATTTTTGTTTGTAATTTTACACATTGCAAGATTATTCGATCAAGGTCTCTCTCCACCCACAGAACATATGCTCCATGGGGGCAGGGCTGAGACTGACTTGACACACAGTTGGGGCATGCTATGTGTCTATGGAATGAATAAGTGAATGCAGATTAACTGGAGAGAAAAGGCTAGAAGTCACACTGTGGCTGCCAGAAAAGAGCTGGAGCAGGAGCCACCCAACAGGAAAAGAGGAAAAAGAAGAAAAGATGGGAGTGAAACGAAATGAATTCCTGGGAAAATAAGGAGGCCTTGAGAGCCAGCCAGTTGTTGGCCTCACATAGTACAACATTGGAGGCAGCCAGAAACAGGGAGCTCCTTTTTAAATCCCAGAAGGTCAGGAAATGAAATGATCCAGGGAGAGATATCTGGGCAAGATCACAAAGGAGTGGCTGCAACTGGAGAAGGAGACCCCAGTGGAAAGACCCCAACTCACAAAGCCTTCCCAAAGTGGTTGACAGATCAGAATGCTGATAGCAGGAGGAAAAACGAGATTTGCCAACATCTTATGACAAGTTATGGTTGTTTATTCTGACAAGAACTGTGAATATTATTCTGTGGGCAGAGCTCTGCTCTTGTGTTCTGATGTTTTCCAAAGAGCCCAGAGAGACAAAGACTCCACCAGCCCAGGAATATTCTGAGTAGTTAAGCACCTGGGGAGAATGAAGTGTGAATGTTCTGTGAGCAGGACCATTGGGGTAGCATTGGAGCAGTCTTCTGGAAGGCTCTGTGACCCCAGAACCATAGTCTCAGAGACACTTGGAATTTGTCCAATTATCCAACTAATTAGTGGTGAGGCTGAGATTTGAACTCATGTTTGACCTAACACTATACCATTCAAAAGACAAACTCCAAGCCAGGAAGCTGGCAATTCCCAGGTACTGTGTTGATCCACTTATACCCTGTCTGGGTGCAGCAAGGACTTGGCCAAGTTTGTAATTTGATTATTGCAAATTACATCCTAAAGGCATTTTGCCTTTATTCCCTCCTCACTCCCCAGCCTGTCTTTCCCTGTAACTTGGGTAATTAAAAAGCCTCTACCCTCTCCAACTCCCCCAGCACTAGCTGGCCCCACAGTGCTGGGCACCAGAACCCAAGAAAGCTGTTCGACAGGATGTGGCAAGGCACCAGCTGCCACCACTGCAGTTTCCCTGAGGCCTCCTCCCAGCTGTCAGAGGGCATCCATCACTCTGCCAGGCTACCCTGAAGGGCACAGCAACTTAAACATCCCCACCTCAGCCTCATCATTATCCCCACAGCCACAGTCTCTGCTCTCCATCTTTGCCCAGGGAGCCTCTCATTTATGTTGGCTGGCGAGTACAGGTCACAGTGGAAGAGCTAGGAGCAGGGAATCTGGAAGAGGCAGAGGAACCAGGATGATCATCTCCATAGGCCATGTAGGAGCCACCAACTAACTCAGGACCAGGGTGGCCAACAGTCAGCTCTGTGACCTTGTTTCTGAGGCTTCTTTCTGAGCCTCATGGCTCTTATCCATAAAGGGAGGATTGGACTAGAACAGGGAACTTTATCGTGTGGTCTATGGAGCCCAAGGACATCACAGGATGGATTGGGGCAGTTGGTTCCGATTACACATTTTCTTCCTAAGAGGGACTTTCTGTTTTTTGAGACACGGTCTTATTATGCAGCCCAGGCTAGCCTCAAACTCAAAATCCTTTTGTCTCCACCTCCTAATTGCTGGGATTATAGCTGTGTACCACCATGCCCCATTTGTTAGCTATTTTCTACCACTACTTTTTTTTTTTTCATTTGAGACAGGGTCTTGCTATTAGCTCAGACTGACCTGGAACTCTCCATTCTCCTGCTTCAGTCTCCTGAGTGCTGAAGGGGTTACAGGCATGAGTTATCACATGCAGCTCCAAGTTTGAGGCTTTTAACTACACTTTCAAAGGCATCCTCAGGAATCGCTGCAGGGGCTTATTCCAACTCTGGATGACTGTCCAACTGATGTCACACATCCGATATCTCTTTCAAATTCCTTCAAATGTCTCCCCTCCCACAAAAAACTTCTATAAAGAGTGAGCTTGCTGTCCTACTTTGTCTCTTTTCCCTCCTCAGCCCCTTCACTGTGGGGGGCTCCTCAGAAAGGAAGTAACTCAAAGTGAGGCACAGGATAGAGAGATCAGCCCAAAGATATGGCCCATATCCTGCTTGGCTGTTGGTTATAACCAGGTGGGGACAGACTGAGCACCTGTACAGACTAGCCCTGCTCATCCCACCTAACAGATGCCACGCAGAGGGGATGTGAGGCTTACTCAGCCACAGCCCCTGCCTTCTTGCAGGAAGATAAAACATATCTACACAAAGCAGTAACCAATGGAGGGGGCATAACACAAAAGGGCTGTTGATGGAGCTCCAGGGACAGTGGCATGGCCTGCTGGGGACCAAGGAAGACCTTAATGAAGAGGGCTTTGAAGGAAGCAGAGGATTTTGTTGGATGGGCAGAAGGTGACAGGAGAGCCATGTCAAACCATGCAGAGCCAGAGAGACCACAGGAATATGGTCTTGGCAGAGAACTAGGGGTCCCGTGGAGAATAGAGGCCAGGGAAGCCAGGATCTGGAAGGGGGTGGGGTAGTGGAAGGGAAAGAAAGGTGTGTATATCTGGGGTAGAAGGGGATAGAAGGTCAGGGAGGGAAAATAGAACTATGCTTGGGCCTGCTAGTTGCAATACATGAAAGACCAACTAGACAAAACAGTGGCCTTGGTCTTCTCACCTGGCCCTAGGGTCCAAGAGGGAACCTCAAGTCAGATGAGGGCTAAACATACGGGGACCATAAGGTCTCAGTCTGCCAAGGACCTCCCTATGCATCCACCCACCCTAAATCCAAGCCTCTGAGCGCTCCAAGGTCCAAGAGAGTTCCTTCCTTAGGCAAAACCAGGCTTCCAACCACGTTCTCACTCTCTGGGGTTGACAGCTATGGTCACAGGGCTCTAGGGGAATGCTACACATGTCAGAACTAAGGAGGCAACAACTAGTTGAAGGACCTCTATTCAGGTCACCTCACCCAGGCAACTCACAGAAACAGACTGTGGAACACAGACACAGCCTGCTAAAGGATGGGGTTGCAATATACAGCCTGGGCTGCACCTCAAATCTAGTTCCATTAATAACATGGAAATTGGTGGAGGGTACAAGGGAAGAGATTTCCATAGATACTAGGAGGATAGGAACCTTTTGTTTTCTGGGGAAGGGACAAAGTTCTCAGAAAGAATAGTTGTAAGCTAGGCATGGTAGTGCATTTCTGTAATCCCAACACTCAGGAAGCTAAGGCAAGGGTATCACAAGTTTGAGGCCAACCTGAGCTACATAGTGAGACCCTGTCTCAAAAAAAGAAAAAAGAATAGTTGTGGAGATGAGCCATAGGGAGCAGGAGTCCTAGTCTTGGAAATGTTTTGATACCCAAGCACGGCATGAAGACATTGGTCCCCAGACATCCATGGAACACATGGACTTGTACAACAGGTGAGCAAAGTGTAGATGAAAGGCAAGAAGGACCATTCCTGATATTTTTCTGCCATAGTTCACCAGGATCTTTGCCCAACCCTTTTGTGGCAGTTGGAGAAGGGGAGAGAACCCACACAAAGCCTAGAATCGAATTTTCCTGGCATCTTGACAGGTTAGCATCTCAGAGGTTTAAAGTATATAATGAAATATGACATTTCATGCCCATCCTATGATGTGGTAAGTATGCTCCCATAAACACAGGGGTGGGGGGGGAATTGCACTGTGGAATTTTTAAATGTCTTCATTTTCTTAAGAAAAACATTGTAATAAAGTTATTTTGATTTCTTTTGTATAACTGAGGACAGACCTAGAGAGGCTATCGTTATACAGATGATGTGTTCTGAAAGGCCTTACTCTAAGCTGACAGGGGAACAAAATAAAGGGAACAGTAATAAAGCTAATCATACTAAACAAATAAGACAAGGTAGCAACATACCTAAGTCCACCTTGATCATAGACCTTTTGATTTCCTTTTAGTAATTCCTCCCCATATCAAATGCAAATAAATAAGGACTTCTTCATCACACTGTGTAAGACAGAAAACACTGCTGTTCTGAGTTTAAGAGAATTGTTTGGGACCATAAAACATGTTTCTCTAGAACAAGATGTTAGTTGCTGAAATATGTCCCTTTTTCATTGAAAGTACAAATGACATCACAAATGTAATTTTCTTCCTCTTTGGCTTTCCTCTATTTGTTCTCCAAAATGCTAAAGCAAAGCCAGAATGGCATTTATGTCTCTTGTGTAAAAGCTGAATTAGCCAAACTGTGGAGAAATGAAAATTTATTAAAGTGCCTCTGGCAGTTTCTAACTGGGAACACAAGGCAGAACTCTGATGGCATCTTCTTGTGCCCTTTCTGGGAAGGCTGGCTGGGAGTGGGACCCTGTAGGTCAAGTGAAGCAGTATAGCTCTTACCTGCAGATGGGGGACCTGGGGGCCCCGGGGGGCCTGGATGGCCAGGTTGACCAGAAGGCCCAGGCTTGCCAGGTGGGCCCATAAGTCCATTATCTCCCTTCTGTCCCTGACAAAGAGAAAGGCAGATCCTGTTATGATTTCATGGCATGGCAAACTTCCTTCCCCACTTGTCTCTAAATCAGGGACCACCTAGCACTTAGGAGCTCAGGGTAGGCCTCAAAGATCTCAACCACCAAGCTCCTAAAAGGCTCAGGGCAAGTTTTCAGACTTTACTTAGACTTTACTCTGTGCTAGAAACACGACACATGACAGTGAACAGAACCAATCCATCCTGCCCCCATGGCATTTGGATCAGAAAAGCAAGGATGAAGTCCCCTGACATTGAAGTAGCAGAGGTGGGCCTGCAAATTCAGGCTTTCTCTCTGCTTTTCATTTCCCAACTATTGCTCTCTGGATAGAGACACAGCTCCTTATTCAGTCTATGAGGCTGGTTTTGGCCAGACTTCCCAGCCTTGTTCTAGGTTTTGGTCTTCAGCAGCACTATGACTCTCTCTTCTCAAAACTCTTTTCTCTGTCCCAAACTCCTCTTCCCTTTCCTTAACCTTTAGCTTTCAATGTCATATCATACAAGACTTCCCTGGCCTCCCGAATCAGTCCTCCTCTTACAGGCTCTCCTAACTTGGTACTTTGCCAGCATTTATCCCAGAGCACAGTGCATAGATTATTTGGATGGTCATTTCATCAATGTCTCCCCATGAGACATAGCTCACAGTGTGCTGGAATCTACCATGTTTGCCTCTCCTCCCCAGACCAAATGAGGAAGGAGACAGAAGCTGACAACACAAGGGAAGAAGATGACATATAAATCAAGAGATTTCACCTAATGACCCAAACATTGTATGCACAAATGAATAAGATAAAAATTAAAAAAAAAAAGAGATTTCACCTAGACCAAGAGACCCTGGGTAATTCATGTCATTATTTTGTGTTTCATTTGAGATTTTTTTGTTTGTTTATTTTTGCTTGTATGTTTGTTTTGTTTCTGTTTTTTTGAGGCAGGGTCTCACTAGGTAGACCAGGATGATCTTGAACTCAAGGTCCTCCTGCCTCAGCCTTTTGAGTGCTAGGATTATGTGTGGGTACCACTATGTGCAGCTTTGTGCCTTACTTTTGTCTTCTGTAAAATGGGGCTGGTAAAAACACACCCATATTGGTTTGTTGTAAGGCTAACAAAGATCTCAGAGGTGAAAATCTGGTTTGTATACAATGAGGGCGGTGCAGAGCAATGTGATATCATGTCTGCTGGCCTGGTTTCGTCTTTTTCCCACAGTGAAAGAAGTCTCAGTTTGTTAAGAGAGTCACACCTTTAGCTACAGCCATTCCACTAGAAGTGTCCTCTTTGCTGCCTGCTCTGGGAGCTTCAAGAACAAAAATTGGGCTCTGTTCCCCCTCAGGGATCCCTAGAAAACAGTGTTGGTGTGCTACAGGATCTTCCCGAGACATCTGCTATCTACTCTTGCTCTGGCCCAATCAGAACAGCCATGGATCCCTGACATCTTTGGCCTGGCTCTCCTTACTCCACTTGTGCCTTGGCAGGCCTGCCCATCTGAACATGCAAATCATCCCCAAGTATGAGAAGCAGCATACCAGAAGCTCCTTTCCCTTCACAATGCTGACATGGGACCTGCCAACATGGCCAAGGAGAACCTCTCAGTAATGCCTGCGAGTTCTTAAAACACTTACTAGGGGACCCAGGAGGTCAGTTTGTTTCCAATTCCACCCTCATGGAGACGTTTTTAAGCCTTAGCCCAAGCTGAAGCATTACATGAGGTAACCAAGATGGGTCCTAGAATGGCAAAGGAAGTCACACCAGCTTAATATAGCCATGGTTAAGGCTTGTTTTCCTAACAGCCAGGGAAGCTGGCTCTGAGCACAGGAAGTGCACAGCTTGAAGGAGCTAGAAATGCCTCTTGATTCTGATGCCAGCAGTACAGGAATCTTCCGCCTATGGGTCGCCTGCTCAGAGGCACCATGTCTCTAGTAGAATTCACTGAGCAGTACTTTCCAGGAAGAGCAATCTGTATTCCTTATTTGCCACAAAGTTTGGAGATTCTCTCTTGAGGAAGTTGTTCTGTCTCCTTAACTGAAGGTTTTTATGATAAAGTCAGCAGCTGTTTTCCCAGGCCTACTGAGAGGCAAGTCCTGAAGTAGGACCATGGGAAAAAGTGAGTATGTGTGGGGAAAAGCTGGTTGCCACACTCTGAGTTCGAATCCTGGTCTTGAAGCTTTCTCAGCTGAAGGATCCTGAACAACACTGCTATCTCCCTGACCCTCAGTTTCCTTGTAAATAAACTGAAGAAACTGGTCTCAAAAATCCTTCTGGTTTGGAAATTCTAGTATGAAATCTTTTCTGAATTTTTGATTCCTGGATTTGGACAGACTTACAGTAACATCCAGAAACTCTTAGTATCAATGGGCCATAAACGTGGGATATACAGCTCTATAGTAGGAAGTGAATTTATGATTAAAACCAAAAAACAACAAAGAAAAAAAGGACCAGAGCAGGTTTCCAAGTCTGACAACTCAAATTATCTGTTGGTCTATGACATCATGTTGAAATCACTCCTCTGATGTAGCTTTTGTTGTTACTCCAACAGAACTGTCAGCAAGGTCAAGAAATAGCCCTCATAGTTTTGGCTCTCCCGGTAAAACACAAACACTATCCAAGGAAAGAATTAGAGAACAGAAGCCTATGTTGGCTTCTTAATTAAGCAGTAAGCATAAAACATTCTGACGAGAAGTCATCAATAGGGGAGAAAGTGATAAGAGATTTTTCCCCCATTTTTTCCTTCTTTTTTGGGCCATACATTAAGTAAGGAAGTTGCTATCTCTGGCACTATTGTAAAGCCATGGCCATACTACTCATTGTAAAACTGTGAGAATTAGACTAGAATCTGGTGGTTTCAAAAGTTACTGTGAGATTTGAATTACCCAGAGTGGAGCCTGTGTCACTTCTAAATTGACTTGAAAACGGCCGTAATTAGCTTTGTAGTGTTGCCATGGTTATGAACCCTGGCTGGACATTAGAATCATGTAGGCAGCTTGATTAAACAACAAAGCAAAACCCAGGCAGAAAGAGGCCCATTTCAGGCCAACTGTATCATAGTTTTTGGGAGATAAGGCCTACGAATTGGGACAATGAAAAGCAAACTTCAAACTGTAGCCATTGTACCAGGTGTAGGGAATCTGTATTCAGTCAACTCCCCAGCCGATTCTGGTGTAAACTAAAATTAATGACCATCCATCTGGCCTAAGGAAGTAAGAAGAAGAATAGAAAAACCCAAAGATTTTTCACCTTTTACATTATTTGTAAGCTGGGAAAGCTCCTCTTGTCCAAGCAATCTATTTGGTTACTCATTTATAAACATGATGCAGATATGTTAAAAAGGTGTTTAAATGTTAATCAATATCTATGGTAACAAGAAAAAAACCGTGCAAATTGTGATTTTAAATTAAAAGTTCAGGGGGCTGGTGGAGTGGCTCAAATGGTAGCGTGCAAGCCTAGCAAGCGTGAGATCCTGAGTTCAAACCTCGGTACCACCAAAAAAAATTAGGATAAAATAACTACATATTGGACCTAAAAAAAACAAATTGAAAGTATAAAAAGAAATAATTCTGGAGACACATGTACTAAAATCACTCCATGACCACCACCAGTGCATATACCTGAGTGTTGGATCTTTAGATGATTTTCTAGCTTTTTTTCTGATTTTTTTTTGGTAGTACTGGGGCATCACCATGTAACCATGTCATATATATATATAATGACTTCTCAATTAAAAATAAAATAAAACAAAACTTTTCTTTTTCTTTGGAGTCAGAGTATCACTATGTATACCAAGGTTGGCCTTGAACTCAAGATCCTTATGGCTCAGCCTCCATTCCTTTTATTGATTGTCAGTGTCTTGGCATTTTTAGTTGAAAGACATTTTAAATTCAGCTTTAAGTAATTTTAATTTTAAAAATGGATGTATATATGAATAGGTATTCTTTTACTACTTGATTTTAATGTTAATGATTTTGAATATGTTAGAAGAAAAACATAATTTTGAACATATATTAAAATCATCTTAGCCAGATGTGGTAGTGTATTCCTACAATCCCAGCATGCTTAGACAGGAGGATTGTAGGGTCAAGGCCAGTCTGGACTACACAGCAAGATCTTACCTCACAAAACAAAAACAAAAAAAGCTTCACATCTCTCAGCAGTAGTTACTGACTAAAGAAAAGCCCAGAAGTTTTTCTGAGGCACTCAGCTCAGTGCTAAAGCCAGCCCAGACAAACAAACCTTTCCTTATCTCATCACCTGACTTAACCTAGGAGCCTGTTAACCAGGGGCTCAGAAGAAACCATTTTCCTTAACAAACCCAATAAAAAGATCACTTACATCCAGGGGGGCCTGTGTTGGGAAGAAATCCAGCCTGTCATGGAGACCTTGCAACAGCAGGGAAAACGCCTGGGCTGTTCTCTAAAAGTCTGTTTGTGTTTGGGACACTGAAGCAAAAAGTAGAGTGAATTCCCATCTTCTCTCCTAACTCAGTTCTTGTTAAGATAGACCTGTTCCTATGAACCAGTCCCACTCTTGCTCCTAGCGTTGGGCACAGCTTAAATGGAGCACACTAGCTCATCCTCCTGCCCTGGGACTGTCCTGAAGAAGTCTGCAGCTCCTGGAAGTGGTGCTGCTCTGTCCACCAGCCCTGAAGATGCTGGAATGTCTCTGATTGACCCACCTGCCTGCCTCTCCACACCCCTCTCCCCAGGCAAGGAGGGTCTGACTTCAGGGTGGAGGTAAGCTCTGAGATCCTTACCTGCTTGCCTCGTTTTCCTGGTCTTCCCGTGGGTCCGCGGTGTCCTGCTATCCCAGGCTCGCCCTTTGGGCCCATTTCACCCTAGAAAAAAGAGAAGCAAGAGAGGAACTGGGGTGTGTGGAGGGACACATCTATGCAATCATTGACACTAGGGCACTCCTCGATGGCAATGGGAGCTTGGGAGAGTGATGAGGTCATGTGAAGAGAACCCTGGCCCTGTGTGTGTCACTTATTGCTGTGGAGCCGTAGACATTTTGATGACAAATGAGAAACAAACCACCAGCCAGAAAAAAGAGAGGCTTCTGCATTTCAGTAACATGAGTGCCAAAGACTTTCTCTTTTAGTCTAAATGTTACATTGTGTTTTGCTGTACTTTGTTTTTTAGCACAAAGTCACATCTATGGTTTTTTGGTTTTTTTGTTTTTTGACACAGCTGACTGGACACAGTCATCATTAGGAAGTCCACTGTCATAATTAGAAAGTTTCTGCTCATTTAATGACCACTGCTTAGGATTATGCATTTCCCCATTCTGCAATAAACATTGCTTTGAGTTCCAGCTCACTTGCATTTGGCTTAGAAGAAAACTCTTTTCTGTGTGTGGTGCTGGGGATTGAATTTAGAGGCCCTGCACATGCCAGGCAAGCCCTCTACCACTGAACTACATCCCCAGCCACAAAAACTTTTGTGGAGCAAGATGATTCAAGTATATGTTCAAATATTCCATATAATCATTGAAATAATTTGGAAAACAATGTAAACAATGAATTAAGTACCTGACAGAAACAACTTAAATGGGAGATTTATGTTGGTTCACGGTTTCAGGGGGTTCAGTCTATCAGAGCCAGCACCATTATTTCTGGGCCTGTGGTGAGGCACAGCATCAAGGTGGCAGGAACATATGGCAGAGTCTAGTTACCTCATGGTGGACTGGAAGTAGAGCATGGGAATACAAGAAGCCAGGGCAAGATATAGCTCTCACAGATTCACCCTCAGTGACCTAATTCCTCCAACTAGTTTCTACTCCCTAACTTTCATCATCTCTCAGTAATGCCACCATATTGTGAATCTACTGGGCATTAATCATGAGGTCATAGCCCTCATGATCTAATTATCTCTGGAAATGCCACAACAGATACCCCCAGAGGTGTGTTTATTAATCTAGGCATTTCTCAATCCAATCAAGTTGATGATCAAAATGAACCATCTCACCATTTTAGTTTCTCTCCTTCCCATGTTCTTCTAGGATTTCATTCCCACTTACTGTTTTGGGGGTCTTATGAACCCACAGGGTACAACATTCCTATCTCTAATAATCCTCCAACATCCCAAAATGCACCACCAATAAAGTGTTTGGCAGTCATCACCATGAGAGTTTCTGTTAGTTGGCAGCCAATGTCCATGAAGAACCACCCCACCCACTCAGAGAAAACAACAGAGACAAAGGCTCTTTTTCATGTGGCAGTCAGAGGAGATCTAATGCAATGGAAGATTCCAGGGACTACCATATACAGTAAGGATCAAGAATAAAACTCTGAATGACCTGTCAGCTCAGTCAACATAGTGAATTTGCCCCTCCCCAAGTCACCAATATCTTGTATCACCAAGAATTGTCCTGAATTCAGTTTTCTTTCCAACATGTTGTATCCTTCAGCATTCTCAGTGGTGAGCAAGTGTGAGGAGATAGGATGGATTATATGTGGTCACGGAGATGTTTTCACAATTTTAGAAGGAGCCAGGGAATATCGTGTTTGGATAGAGAAAACAACAACATGAATAATATTAAAACATTTTAAGAGACTGTCAGAAGGAAGTGTGGCCCTTCTCTTTCTCCACTGGAAGCAGCCAGTAATTTCTTGATCTAATTTTTCTCCTAAGACCTAATTATGGTTATCATATCAGCTCTGACTCAAAACAGCTTTCCATGAAAGGGGGGAGATAACTCTTTCGATGCCAAGTCTAGTAAATGGTGCAGAGACCAGAGACACTGTCATACTTAATTTTACAGTAATTTATAATTCTTTGATGCTCTCTGTTGTGCTGAATGAAAACCTAGCCTAACTACTTGTAAATAAAATTATTTTTCTCTTCTAATATTTCCTTTAACTTGCCTATATAATTATTCTATTTCTAAAAATGCAACACTCCATCTAGGGTAAAAGGAACAGAATTTCTAACAGCTTAAGATAGTGATAAACCATAGTAAATTGATGCATGGTGGCTGAAAAACTTGAATATGCTCTACTGACTGGATATAGTCAGATAAAATTATTTATTTAAGTTTGGAAGATAATACTTTAAATTAAAAAATTAAAAATACTGCTAGGCATATTGGTGTACATCTGGAATCCCAGTATTTGGGAGGCTGAGAAAAGAGGATCTTGAGCTCAACTAGCCTGCATTCTCAAAAAAAAAAAAAAAAAGAAATCATCCACTTGTATGTTTGAAGAACATCCTGTCTGAGGTCTGGGTTAAAATAATAATTTCCAATGTCAATGCCTTACAGCGTGAGGATCTAGCATTACCATGTTAGTTTAGCAGCTATTCTAAACAGTCATTTATGCAACTTTCTCTTTATTTTCTGACATCTCCCCTCACCTTACCCATCCTTCTTTCCAGACCCTAACTCTAAGTAAAAGTTTCCAAAAACATGTCAATTCGTGGCCATCTGAACAGCTTTTGTTATATCCACACCACCATACAACTTTATTGTTATTTACTGAATATTTTTTCTTTACCTGAAATTAATTCTTATTTTACTAATTTATTTTTATTTTATTTTATTTTTTGTGGTGCTGGGAATTGAACGTGGGCACTTGCTCATGCTAGGCAAGTGCTCTACCACTGAATTACATCTCCAGCTCTGACTCTTTTTAAAATTAGGCCAAGTAAGATACCAGTAAATAGTTCACTATTTAAATACGAAATTTAGCTATTAAAAAGTTTGCTGTCATCTAGTTCAAGTAACTCTGTGTACACCAATAAGCATATATGCCACCCTTGAAGAAGGCTGAATTAAGAATTCAGACAGGGGCTGGAGGTGTAGATCAGTAGTAGAGCACTTGCCTAGCATGCACAAAGCCCTGGGTTCAACCTCCAGCACTGAAAACAAAACAGAAAAAACATATATGAACCTGGACATGGTGGTGCATAGCTGTAATCCCAGCACTTGAAAGACTGAGGTAGAAGGATCATGAGTTCAAGGTCAGCCTGGGCTACTAAGACCTTGTCTTAACACCACCAAAAAAAAAAAAAGAAAGAAAGATTTTAGGCAGCAGAAACATTAGGCCAGAGATGCCTGTACTTTGCCTTGCGGCCTATGGCCTAAGAGGGGCCTTGGGCACTTGTGGCTCAGAGATGAGTCACAAGTTTCCTGCTTTTGAATATTATCATAGCCCTTTAAGAAGTCAGTAAAGAAGGACCTCTTTCCACCTGGATGGGATGGTCTTTCTCTTTCACTGAACTGGAGAGAGGTCTCAGACCACCCTGCCACCCTCTTCCCAGTATGTAAGGCAACTTGCCCCCAACCCAAACTAGAAACTTTCACAGTTAAAACTACTTTCCGTGCCTGAGAGACAATAAGGTAGGGCTCTATTTGTTGGAGGGACTGATTTTTTGTCTAAGAACTATTTTTACCACTTGTAGGTACTTACTTTCTGCCCCAACATTCCAGGAAACCCCGGGAAACCCTGTGAACAGAGCAACAAATATTGTGACTGCCTCTGAACTAACACATGGAAGACCTGGTGAGGAACTTGGTCAGCCATTTTCAAGATGGAGGCCCCATCAGTCCACTGGCAGGTCCACAGATGAGGTGAGCAAGGGCCACCACTTGTAGTTTATCATTTCTATGGAATGGCCTTTACCTTTTCTCCTTTGGGACCCAAGTCACCCCTTTCACCTCTGGATCCCTAGGAAGAAACCACAGGAGAAAGTCAATGAGTTAATAACATGGGGGCCGGGGGAGGATTGGAACATTTCAAACTCTAAAGCTCTCTGGGCCAACACACTTATTTTACTGATAATAATACAGGCTCAGAGATATTCTGTGGCTTGCTAGGAAAGGAATGCTTTGTGATCTACCTTCTGTTTGGACCCTAAAGACCTCTTGCATTAATAAAGAACAACTCACAGAAAATTCTGGGTCTAGATCCTCTCTCATCCCATAAGAAATGTGTGCCCAGGTTCCCCACTGGTGTTGGCTTTGTTTTGATAGATAAGAAGGCTGTGTGGTAGAAGTTTGGTCTAAGGACACACCTGCCCCTTTCTCAAGCACTCCCATGCACACTTGAGTTCATCCTCTACCTTCTTTTGTTCATTTACTCCCAGTGCAGGGACTCTGCCTCTATGGGAAGCTCATCCCTACCCTGTTTATCCTGCTACAGGCGGCCCCTCACTTCTCCTCAGCCCACTGACAAAGCACAGGAGATCTGGGAATGGTTGCTTCAGTTACTGACTAACGAGAGACCTGGGCCCATCCTCTGCCCATTGCCGACTTCAGAACATGTAGCCCAGACTAGGTTCTGGGATGCCATCAGAGACCAGCACTGACCTTTTCCCCTCTGGATCCAGGGTAGCCCTAAAAAGAAAGCAGAGGATGCATTTACAATCAACCCTGTGGGACTTTTGGGTGTGGTGCAAGGAATTCCTGAGTGTGGTGGTAAGGTGCCTCCATATGATGCATTGTGAATCTTAGTGGGGTTGTAGCAGTCAACATAAATGCATAAGGAGTTTTTGTTTCTACCAGGCTTAAAAAGAACATTACATTTCTCCAAAGACCCAAACAAGTGTTTTCATCTGCCCCCAATGTCCAGATGCTTGACCTTCATGGTCCAGGAAAACAGCAGTGATGGTATCCCTATGCTCCTGAATCCCAGGACATGATGTCCCTCAAGCTCTGGTAAACACAAGCATCCTGGCACTGGGCTCTCCAATATCTGTGACATTCTCCAAGGCTTGCTCTCCCCATCTTTGTAGGTAGCAGCTGCTCCACAACCTTAGTAAGAAGACCTAGGAATGTCCATCTGGATCACACACTGACCTTTGAGCCCATTGGTCCTCTTGACCCTGGCAAGCCCATCAGACCCAGGTCACCTTTTTCACCCTGTGGGAATTAGAAGAAGAAAAAGGAGACCCCACAGTGACATTTTTTAGAGAAACTGAAACAGGACAATCATGGGCAAGATCGGGACAGATCGGGGCTGGATTGCGAATCTGAGGTCCCCAAATGTTTCTTTGCCCCCTCCCAGGGGCCCAAGGCTCCATATTCTCCCTTTCGTTCTGGTATTTGAGATTAAATATAAAACAAAAATGCCCAAGATGGAACAGATCTGCAAACTAAATACTCACTAAGATGTTGTAAATGGTGATACATGATCTTTTCCTAGAAAGGGTTGGGGAAAAAGCATGAGGGCACCAGGGCCTCAGAAGACAAGATGTCAACAAACACAAAAATCTTTGCTTGCTTTGCTCTTTGCATAGGGAGGGCCTTTCAGACATCTCCATATACTGTCAACTTAGGGTTTTCTGGGTGTGTACTACCGAAGCAGGGAGGGGTATGTTAAGATTTATGGGTTGGCTCTGTTGCCCCTTTAGAATGGTTTGCATTTGGAACGTCCAGCATCCTCTGTACTAAAAACTCTATGCCACTGCTGACAAGTACAAACATAAGGGAGGTCACATACTAAATTTTAAATGTTTATTGAAGTCACATTAAAAGTAAAACTAAGCAGGTGAAAGTAATTTTATCAATATATTTTATTTAATCTAATTAACATTTCAACATGTAATCAATATAAAAATGATTAATGATGTATTTTACATTCTGCTTTTCATAATAAATACTTGAAATCTGTTGTACATTTACATCTATAGAGCATCTCAGCTCAGGAGCTAAATGTTCATTCGAAACACTTTTTTTCTTTGGGGTACAGGGCTTTGAATGCAAGGCCTCACACTTGCTGGGCAGGTGCTCGACCACTTGAGCCCATTCTCCCAGACATCATTCAAAATACTTGATCTGTATTATTGAGATTTCATAAAATTGAGAGTTGAAAAAGCAAAGTCGCACTCAAGTTGCTCTAAACATACTTGAAAGTTTTCAAATAACTGAATTGAGTAAAGATTTTTAAACCCATACTTCGATGAATTAAAATTAAAAATTCAGTTCTTCAGTTGAACTAAGTCACATTTCAAAGGCTTAACAGCTGCATGACTGTCGCATTGGACAGTTCAGCACTATACAGAGGACTTTTAAAAGAAATATCCTCAAGAGTTTTCTTAAGAAATCATAGAAAAACAGTTTTCTACTCCCATAATGCATCCAGTAAGTGAATAAGAGCAGGTGGTGGCATTTATCTGCCTACCCCTGACTTCCACAGGTAAGATTTTGAGTCCTGGCCTCTCACCCTGTAATCTGTGACCAGCAGTGAGAAGAACATAAACAGAGGCATGACTGTCTATGTGTTGTCTGTCATACCCTGTCTGAGGAAGGGGATTTCACTAGCATTTGGTGATCCCTCTGTCGATGTAAGATTTCCATCCTTTCAGCCAGCTAATGCCTACCAATCAACGACCCACCTCCCCGCCCATCTCCTGCCAGAATAGCATGACAGGCAAGAGCTTTCCAGACATAAGTTCCCTTTGGGTCATCTCAGGAAAACCAAACAATAACATGTTAATTCTTATGACTAAGGAGAAATGGGCCCCTGGGAAAGCAGGAAGCAGTCCCCCCCCGCCCCCGCCCTGCCATTTCTCCTCTCATAGGAACAGTCATGCCACTGACCAAGGTCTGCAGGCCAAGAGAAGGAGGAAGTGTTTAGGGACCTTGGACAGTCCTCAAGTTTTCTTCTTCTTCTTCCACATCTTGAGGAAGTGATTCTCTGGCTACGAGCCAGGGGCCAGGGTTGCTGCCATTTTCCCCTCTCTTGTTCTGATACCACATAAACCCCAATACGTGTTACACTTACCCTGGGTCCTTCAGGGCCTGGCCAGCCGATGCGACCAGGCATGCCAGGAACACCTGGGGGGCCAGGTCTACCCTTCAAAAACCAAGAACAAAAGTCAGGACAACTGGGTATGCTTCTCTCCTTCCAAGAATATCTGGCGCCCAGAAACAATTATGGAGCCTGTAAGCATGGCCCCAAGGCCGTGGAATTCCCATTTTCCAAAGACTAAAAGCCTAAAAGATTGGGATACTGAGTTAAATCCTTAGTGTATCATCAAACAAGATTTTATTCTATTCAAGAAATAGAGGATAGTGGGAAGTTTTTCAGTTTCAGTTTTCATCACCTCCACTCCACTCAGTGACCCTACATTCCAGTGGATTCTGCACAAGGATGTGCTGTGAAATGAGATAGGAGGAGCAGGAGCTGTTGCTGTTGGTACTCTCTCAAAATCTTTTTACCTGCTCAGAGCACTATCCCCTAGTAGCTACCCTCCTGGTTGCTCACAACTTATCCTGCCACCTGCAACTGTGGTGTTTGTCCTTGGACATTGGAGCTTCCCAGTAATTTGTGTACCTCCCCTTCCTGCATCCAGTAGCCCAGAATCCTTACCTCAATGCAGGACAAACTGCCAGGCAATACACACTCCAGACCTTCTCCTAGGATCAGGCTACTCTGGTTGGACTTCACCTTACATCACTCCCTTGCTTGGCTTCTCCCACTGTCTACGTCTCCTCCTGACAGTGTTCCCTTCATAATGTATTTATTTGTACATGTATCTGTTTCTAGGGAACCCAACTTAAGCCAAGGGCTATGGAAAAGTAAGCCCCATAAAAGAAGGTGGGAACATGGACTAAGGATCCTTTCTTTTTTTTTTTCTTTCCTTTCTTTCTTTGGTGATGGTACTGGGTGGGGGTTTGAACTCAGGGCTTAGCACTTACTAAGCAGGTGCTCTACCACTTGAGCCACACCTCCAACTGTAGGACCCCCATACCCATTGACTAATTTTACAGTTGGCTAGAGATTTGAAGAGCTTAGCAAAGGACTCAGAGATACCAAATGCAGGCATGTGTACAGATTTCTACTCTTGCCTCACACATCCATGATAGACATCACTAATCAACATGGCTCTTACTTGGTATGAGCATTGGGTGACCACTCCAGAATTCTTTCCAGTCCAGCACCTGAGACAGTCACTATGCTATGGCTGGAGTTGTCATTTGTACCTTGAAAAGGTCTGTCTAAGCCTTCTCTTGACAGTGAAACCATTTGAGTAAAATATTTAACCAGGAACATATTAATTTATATTTAGAGCCATAGGGCTCTTTCTTGGCCAAAGTTTTGAACTTCCTTCAATCACAGGATCTAGAACTGAAGGGCTAGTATCAAGTAAAATAGGCTGACGTGAATGAGGATCTTAATAACATGTGTTTGGTTCAGTAACAGTCACTGTGACCTTAAGTAACTCCCATTTAATTCACCTGGGCCAAAATGCAAAAGCTATTTGTTCCTATCTACTCTGACTTTATTCCAGTTTAATTGAATGGATGGTGAGAGTCATTTTGTGTTGCTGGTTGGGGCCTGGGAGGGTTTCCTGGTGGGTGTCAGGATGAGGTGATCTGAGGCTGGGAGATGTCTGGCTAACTCTGACAGCTTCTGGAAGAAGTCTGAATGCCTGATAGCAACAGGCTCCAGATCCTGACCAAAGGATTGGCAAAAATGGCAAGAATGCTACTGTCATCAGCAGAATGGAAGCATCATTATTATCTGCTTGTATACTGGTGGCCACAGAAATGCTTTGCTGGTCCTCACCCCCAGGTATGCACACACACTCACATGCACATAGAGCACAGTGCCTGTGAGATGCTCACAGAACAGCATAGACCATACCTTCCTTCCTGGTCGGCCAAGCTCCCCCTGTGGATGGAGAAAACAAGTAAGCAGAGGCTGGTTTAGAAGGGAAGTTCTAGAAACAGAAAGCTAAGTAGGGCTGATGGCTGAGCATGGATATGATTCAGTGGGTTGGTTGGTCCCAGCACCCTGGCCATGACAGTGGGCCAAGCTAACATCTACCAACAGCATCCCACACCCCACAGAAGTCAGTCATCAGGGGGCCTGTCTTCACATGATAAGGCAGATAATTCTCAGTGGCACCCCCCCTCCACACACCAAGCTGAGATTACCAAGGAGACATGGGTTAAAGAAAGTAGTGGCTCATACCTTTTCTCCCTTTGGTCCTGTCTTGCCAGGGACCCCTGGTGGACCCTACACAATCAAGATAAGAAGTCAAAAAAGAATGTATCAACCAAGGTGGGACTGCCAGGGAGGGACAGATCCAGGGAGGTGCTGGGGATACTGGGTCTTAACAGAGCAGCCCTGCTCTCTGGATGCAGGACCCTCAGAACACCCTGCAGGAATCTGTCTGGCACTAGCCCTCTCTCCTTTGTGTTCCTTCTCCTTAGCTTTCTAGGGACCATGTTTCCAGTGGCACCATGGCTGCAGGATTTACACATTCCCTCTCTGGACTTTAATTTTCTCCCTGGAATCCCTTGGTTGCACTCAACGTCCTGAGTGCTTGATCGGAGCAGCTAAAGAGCCTTAAAGAAATCTCATCTGCTGGAGACGTGATGCTCCACCAACTCATGTATCTTTTCAGCCACTCTTACCTCGATTCCCTGAGGCCCTGACAAGAGGGGAGTAATTTGCACCCAACAGCATCTGACTTAGAAATTTCTATGAATGATCTGTGGGTACCAGGTGCCAAATAATTCCATCCTTCCCAGCTTCAGCAGCAAAGGTCTTCTTTTTTAAGGCATGAAGAATATGAGCAAGGAAATAGCACCTTTCTGTCCCATTGCCCAGTCACAGAAGTAGAGTAGGGGAATTCCAGCTCAGAAATCGATGCTTTGCACACTCACAGCTATTTTCTGCTCACATCTCTGTAAAATGTACAGTCAGTAACTGTTTTCCAAATTCTCCAGAGCAGCAAAGAGAAATACAACCAAACTCCTCAGGCCCCCACCTACGATATGCAGATGAATATGTCCAAAGCAAATCCTGTTTGCAATGTGCTTTCTTTGAAACTTGTCCAAATGAGCAAGAGCCCCCTCAGCCAGTGGTTCCAGACTTATCAGCATATGATAATCTCCTGGGGATCTTTGAAAAAATCCCAAAGCCCAGTCCATACCACAAACCAATTAAATAACAGTCTCAGGGAAGAAAATAAGTATCAGGAATTTTGGAAGCTCCCCAAAGGGATCCTAATATGCAGATAAGATTGAGAGTCACCATCTTTGGCTTATTTGTCTTCTGCTTTGGGAAGGGAAGAAAACTACTCCATTCTCTTCATTTCCTCAAATAGCTAGAACTGTTTTATAAGCTTATTGTGCTCTAGCTCAGCATATCCCAAACTGTAATGTGCAGATGATTCATTTGATTCACTGGGATAGGGGTGGGGTTTTTTTGGTTCAATGTTAAAATGAAGATTCTTTTTTTTTTCTTTGTGATACTGTGAATTGAATTTAGAGCCTTGCACTGCTCTACCATTTGAGCCACACCCCCACTCCTTTTGCTTAGGTTTGTTTTTCAGATAGAGTGTTGTGCTACCTTTGTCTGGCCTTTAACCACAATCCTCCTACCTCTGCCTCCTGACTAGCTGAGATTACAGAGGTATACCAACACACCAGTCCTAAAATGAAGATTCTGATTGAATGGGTTGGAGGAAGGATGAGATTGTGCATTTCTAGCTGGTTCCCATATGATTCTAGGGTCGCAGGTCTAGGGAAGTCACTGAGTATCAACAGCATTCACTGTTCTAAGGGGACTGAGGTGGCTGCATAGACACCACAGTTGGGCAATGCAGCCTCCATGTGAGTCAAATGGGATTGCATAAAGATAGATATGAACAAATGAGACTGGAGAACTGCTGTTTTTTGTTTATTTGTTTGTTTGTTTGTAGTATAGGGATGAACTCTTGTACTGAGTAGGCAAGTTCACTACCATGAGCTACATCCCAGCCAAGAGCTGTGGTTATGGGGTCAGCACAGGATTCACTTTCTTCCTGAAGCTGTGTGTGCCCTGAGATCCATCACAGAATATTGCTGAATGTGAGATGATAGAAATCCACTGTCAAGATTTCTGTCTTGCCTTTCTACAGATCTGCCAGTCCCTCTGTGGTGGCCTCTGGCCAATTCTGTGTTCAAAGTCCTGTTCTTCTCATTGTATTCAACAAACATTTATGGAGAACAGGCTATATGCATGCCTTGGTATAGATTGGGAAGACTACAATGAGCAGGATACACAATGGCCCTGTTCCCATATATCAGGGATTAGTAAACTTTTTCCATACAAGACCAGAAAGTAAGCTTAAGCTTTTGTTGTTGTTTTGAGGCAGAGTCTTGTATGTAGCGAAGGCCTTGAACTTGTGATCCTCTGTCTCTGCTTTCTGAGTGCTGGGATTAAAGACATGTATTACCCACCATGCCCAGCTGTATCATAGGCTTTGAGGGCCACATCTGGTGTCTATGGAAACTACTCAGTTCTGCCTTGCTAGCCCAGAAACATCCAAAGACAATAAAACTGTAGTTAGAAAAATAAATTACGACAGGATTTGATCCATATGCTATAGTTTGCCATAGGGCTTACATTTTATACAGGAGATTACCACACCACCACCCTCTGCCGGCAAAAAAAAAAAAAAAAAAAGCCAAGAGCAAAAGCAAAAAATCAGGAAACCATAACAAGATGAGAAAATTAAAGTAGACCATTGTGCCTGGGTGGTTGAAAAAGGCGTAAGGAGGTGTCATGAAAACTGAGTTCTGAGTGACCAAAATGAGTGGCCATGATAAAAATCTTAGGGAAGAACTCCCCAAATGGTAGGAATCATAAGTGCACAGGCCCCAAGGTGGAAACAAGCTTAGTATGTAGACTACAGTTGCTGTGGCTGAGTCAAATGACAAAGGAGGGCTGGAGTGCCCTCTCATGGAGACTTGTCAAACACGGTAAGGAATAGGACTCTTATTCTTCCGTGATGGGAAGTCACAGGAAGTTTGCTTAGGTAAGTGACAATTTCTCTGCCCTGCTAGGAAGGCACTTGGGGAATTGCCTGCTCTCCTCTTTCTCCTCCTCATGGAGGTGTCCAGTTAGATGTGGTCCTCACTGGTAGAGCTCCTCTCTGAGGCAGGCCTGGGGAGCCAGGAGTCTGAGATAGGGTCTCTGGAGGGTACTCTTGTTTGTCTAGAAAGTTCTTTCTCTAACAGTTTGCCTGTTCTTGGCTTATTCCTTTGCCTTTGGTGGAAAGGGATGAACTGCTTGGTAGCAGTACTGGAGCCCAGGAAAGCACACAGTGACCAGTTCCTTTTGCCTCTACTTTCCTGCACTGAATTTGGGCACCTCTGTGTCTACAGGTGGGGCTGATGATTACATTAGGCATGTTGTCATCAAGCATTTGTTGGATAATAACTCTAATAATAGTCCCTGCCAAATAGGCATCTCATTTGATCCACCAAATCTAGAATGGCAGAGATAATTGTTACTCCAGTTGTATAGATGAGGAAGTCACAGCTAGGAGTCTTTGACTAGTTGTTCACCCAGAGGAGAATCAGTGCTGTATCCAGGGGGATCTGGAGCTGGAGATAAACTAGAGAAGGAAAGCTGGGTGTGTTGGCATAAGCCTGTCATCCCAGCTACAGCGGGAAGCCTAAAATAGGAGGATCGTAGTCCACGCTAGTCTGCACAAAAAGTGAGATCCTATCTCAAAAATAACCAGAGGAAAAATGGGCTGGAGTTTTAGATCAAGTGGTAGAGCACCTGTTTTTCAAGTGTGAAGCCCTGAGGTCAAACCAAAACAACAACAACAACAACAACAACAAAAAAAAACTGGAGAAAAAAGCCACACGTTAAAAGGGCAGATAGACACTGAGGGGATCTGCCCAGAAAGCTTCTCCACTCTGAAAGACAGCAAGAGGGAGTCTGGCAGAGTTTACCCACCTGGGGGCCAGGAGGCCCTGGGGAGCCGAGTGAGCCTTGCATGCATGGGGATGGCGTGGTCTCCAATTCCAGCAGGAGATTCTTCATGTCTGGGGAAAGAAGCTTCAGTGCAAAGCAACATGGGTTATAGGTCAGACTCGGGGATCAGAGGGAGGATCACCTCTCTGCCCTAGGGTCAGACCCAAGATTAGTGATTCCCTGACACACGTGTGTCCTGAGAAGATGATATTCTGTGTCATCAGTTTCTGTTCTTGAAACAAACTTGGTTTGCATGGGTGATGGAGATAAAATGGCCCTGTTGGACTCAGTTAGGAAGCTTATTTCAGGGTCTTTGTCCAATGTCTAGGACAATACTGCCCAAGAGAAATACAACATGAGTCACACTAGAGTTTTAATTTTTTTACCTTGTAAAAATAAGTAAAATTAAATGTAAAAATGTATTTTATTGAGCCCAACATATCTCTAATGTTATCATTTCAATGTATGCTCATTACAAAAAATTACTGAGATATTTTACATCCTTTTTTTGCAAATTCCAGTGTGTATTTTACATTTATAACACATCTCACCTTCAATTAGCCACATTGAATAGCCACATATGGCTAGTGGCTATGGTATTGGACAGTGCAGATCTAAGAGCTTCTAGAAAGATCTAAGAGTCCAAAGTTCCTTGTATGCCCTGGCCTATTGTCTTCTAGGTCCTGAATCCTGTTCCTTTCCTCACTTTTTCATCTCTTCCCCAAATCTGTTCCTTCTCACACCTCAGTGTGACTACAGGAAGACTATTTCCTGCATTACTTCATGGACATGGTCTATGTAAGCCATGGGCTGTGGAAGGGAATTTCTTCTTTTTTTCTTTAATTAACACATAATATTTGTACATATTTATGGGATACAGCATGATAACTTAATGCATATATGCAATGTATAAAAATTAAATCTGGATAATTAGCATTTCCATATCTTCAAACATTTGTCATTTCTTATTAGGAAACTCTGGGCTCTTCTTTTGTAGTAATTTTGAAATATGTCAAATTCTTATAGGTTGTAGTTACTCTACAGTGCTATAGAATACTTGAAGGTATTTCCCTAGCTAATTGTGTTTTGGTACCTGTTATCTAACATCTCTCTAGCCCCTCCTTCTCCATTTTATCTCCTACCCCCTTTTTTAACCTCCCTTCTCCCCAACTTTCCAGCTCCCTTCCTCCTAGGGAATTTCATAAATACTTGAGGAGAAAAAAGGGGGAAGGGGAAATTCCATGTCTGAATAGCTAATGGGAACTCAGAAAGTTATAAACCCCGGGGTTTTCAAAAACATGGGGCCCTTTGCCAAATCCAATTCCCAGTTGAGAAGAGTCCCCCCTCCATCTCTGTTTTAAGATAGTAAGAGAGCGGGGTAACTCTATCCCAGAAACTGCAAAATATCCATTTCAGGGCTGAGCCTCGGAGCTTAACGGTTGACCCTATCAGATGAGATTCTGGAGGCAGCCACGCTGGGTGAGAAGCCCAGAATTCCATGCTGTTATAAGTCACAAGAACTCACGGGAACTCGGCCCTCTCTGAAGAATGGTGGCGGCGGGAACAGTGGGGGTGGGGGTGGCATCAGCAGGCAGCATGCTTTGTTGTTGCCCCGCTTCTTCTGGTCCAGGCCGGGAAGGGCTGTGCAGAGAAAACTGCTGCTCATTAGCGTGAGCTCAGGGTGAGGGCCTCTATTGTGCCCACTGTGCCCAAGGGAGGCCCACACAGCCACTCCAGACTTCCAAATCTAACTTCCCTATTTGCTGCTTCACACAGCTTTCTCCTTGCTTTTGCTGACCTGAGCTGGCATGGACACTGTGACCATTGTTAGATCTAGCTGTCTTTCTTCAGAGACCAGCTTGCCACTTTGTAGTTATGCAGGTTTTTGAGAGTCTCTAGATAGCTCAGGCTGGCCTCAAAATTGTGATCTTCTTGCCTCAGCTTCCCCAGTGCTAGGATTATAGGTATGCACTACCACACCTGGATCCTGCTAAGTTTTTCTCTGGGTTTATCCCTATGTTATTCGCCATGGGGTAAAACGGTTTCCTTATATATTCCTGACTAAACTATGCTCTCTGGGAGGGCTAGGGCCAGTTTTCACCCCTAGGGTCTAACAATACACCTAGCAGGCATTGGGCTCCCCATAGATGTTTGCTGAATTAATAATATAAAGGACAAACACTTACTCATGCAAGGCACACTTAAGTGATTCACACATATAAATATCCAATCCTCCCAAGCAGCCCTGAGAGCTAAGCACTATCATCATCCCCTTTTTACAGGTCAGTTAACTGAAGCAATGAGACAAGCAATTTGCCTAAAGTCATACAGCTAGTTAAGTGATGGAACCCTCTCTTGAACTCAGGCAATATGGTTCCAGAGTCCTTCCTCTTAAACTCTATACTGTAACTACAGTATAGAGTTACATGGGTGACAGTGAAGGTCAGGGCCTGAGAAGGAGTCAAGGGGATCCCATAACAGCTACTTGAGACATGTCCTCCAACCAAAGACTACCGGGAACACACCTGGAGTTGAACCAGGTTGGGTTCATTGATTTATCCCAATAAGGGCAAACACACCTAGGAGTAGTTAGGAGGTATCTCAGAGCATTAGAAACTATTTATTCTAGGATTCAGGCTCTTCCCTGGGTGACTTGTGGGGGAGACTCTGATAGGGCAAAGTTGGGCTTTGCTCGAGACTGGATGCTGTCAGGAAGCAAGGGCTATTCTGTGTTTAGCTATGGCCTTGGGGAGCTCAAGTTTTTGTCCTGATCCAACAAGGTCACAGAGTGGAGTGGAGTTTGGGGTCTTGTGGAATTGTTTATGTGCCACTGGGGACACCATTCTCAGCTGCATCAGGTCACCTCCAGCTATCATGGCTGCTGTTCTCTGTGGTAAAATGATAGAGCTATATTATTACAGAACTTGACATTAGTGCCAGCTCTTTCCTAGAATGTTGAGAAGCAAGAAGTGGCATTCCACCCTACCTGAAGCATGTGGTCAAGGCTGGAAGCACACTTTTGATCCCCTAACTGTAGTTTCTCCTTTGTCTCCCCTTTGCCTCAGTAAACAGCTTTCCACAAAGCCACTACTGGCCATGACACCTGGAAGATGGCAGGTCAACATGGCTAATTTTCACTCATCACCTCTTATTTTTCCAGACCATATATGGCCTTCAATGCCTCCCTTCACCCAACACCCAACACCAGTGGCTTCCACTAAAGACCTTGTGTTATTTAGGGCAATTATTTCTCTTATTTTCCTCTGGATACTGGAGATCTCTTCAGTGAACAGAAATGATCAGTTGCCATTCGTCCTAAGGCATCTGCATTGTTTACCACACCCCCTTCCTCCTCACTCTCCCACTTGACCTACTTCATTTCCAGCAGGTGAAGACCATCAATTTCTGCCCCTCCCCCATCCCTCTGGAGCTGTTTTTAGCAGTCTGGTTTATTTACAGCTCATTCTAGCTCAGAATATTTCCATCAGGTGGACATGTTTGGGGACAGCTTCCCCTCCTCCCTCCCTGTTGGCTAAGCCAGGACTTCTCATGTCTATTTTGGTGCTATTGAGTGGCTGGTGGATTGCTCTCAGGACTATGGTGTCTCTGCTGGATTCATGTGTGAGCTCAGGGTCAAGTCTGGAAAAGCCCCAGAAGGCTCTGTTGTAATGGAAACAGTCGTGTGTATAAGTACATGGAGCCTGTAGAGACTTGGTGCACCACGTGCGTGGCTCAGCCCCAGGCAGCTGTCTTGGCAACTATCAGGGGATTTCAGGATCACTGACACTCACTTAAAGACACCAAAGCTGTGTCATGTGTGGCTATTGCATTGCCAAAGTATGAGTTACTGTCTAACACGGGCTCTTGGCAAGCATTTGTTTTGGGGGCTTGCCCCATTGTTCATGCTGGTCTTGTCCTTTGCATAGAATACTAAGAGAGGAATCTCTCTCCTTTTTCATTTCAAGAAACTGAGGCATATCTTCAGAAAGTGATCCACACCAACTTACTCTTGGAAATATAGGGACTTGTATCAAGGAGTGTGATTCTGGGTGCAAGTGGCCATAGGACGCAGTGCAATTCACTTCCTCAACTTGAGCCTCAGTTTCCTTATCTGTACCACCCAGGGTTGGGACCAAATCATCTCCAAAGTCCTTTTTTTAAGTAAAGATGACCAGGATCACCACTGCATCCATCCTCCTCTCCTCAATTCACAAGACCAGTCCATCATCAGGTCACTAGAGATTACTTCTACCTCCTGTACCAAGAAGCCCCCTCAAAGCAAGCCAATGTATCATTAGAAACCACCAAAGGGAAGAAGTGACATAAGAAGCCGTCCTGCCTTAGTAGTTGGGAAAAATGACAAGTGCAGCTTCATGCTAATGACTCTGCACCTGCTTGTCCAGTTGGGAGACTATTCAACTTTTTCCTGCACTGGGGCCTTCCCCTGCCTGGTGGAACTAGTGCTAGAAGGAGACTGGGGTGGAGAGGAGGCAAGGGAACACAGCTCCCTCACATCACTGAATGCTCCCCAGTGGGATGGACGGCCCAGCAACAGTGACATTCTCATACCACCTGGCTTCAAAAGTTTTCCACAATACACACATTCCAGAGAAGGCTGTACCCTACAACTTTCCTTCAATTTCCATGCACAGGCTACATAAGGCTTGAAAAAAAAAATTCTGATTCTAAAAGTTGAAGGAATAAGAACTTTTATGAAAGACCATGGTAGAAGTTTACTGTTTGTGATTTGCACCTGAGTAGACATGGCTGTGGGTGAGGGGATCCAGGTGAGGATATACCTACAAAGAAAATGACTTGATGGTTTGGTGACTTCTGCCTCTGAGTTACATTACCCAAGCCATTTGGCACGGGGATTGATGGAGAGCGCCCTAGTCACTTAATGCCAGGGAGCCCTGAACCACAGAACATGATTTTACTTCAAAGCCAAGGGAATAGCAGCTGCCAGCCAGCCACCCTGAAGTCAAGGTCACAAGAGGGGCACAAACAGATGCTCACACGTGATCATATATGCTGGGCCCCATCAACTCCACCATCAAATCCCTTCACACTGCAAATTCCAACAGCGGCTGAAAAGTCTAAAATTTAAAGTCTGCTAAGAGCTCCTGGGAAAAGTCTCTTTTCAAAACACTGCATGCACATGTACATGTGTGTGTAGGTGCACGGGCGTACACACACACACACACACACACACACACACAAACTCACCCAAGCAGCAAGCTGAGTAACAGAGCAGTCCTGAAATGGTGAGAAGATGAGTGAGGCTGAATGATGGTTCCGTCATCGTGGGGCAAGGCCCAAGGCAGACTGGCCAAGGAACACAAGCTGGAGACAGGCTGAGATTTGTCACTCCCGCAAGTACTCCCCACGCCTGGCCTGTTAGGCACTCGGGTGGGAGTTGGCCAATCCCTGTTTTGATGCTGCTTCTACCCCAGGTGCCAGGGGTCCAGGGGCCAGTGCTGAGCTCCTGTCCCTACCCTGGCCACCCACAAGTGTTCCTGCAGGGCAAGCTTGAAAGACAGAGTGCCCTCTGGCCAGGAAAAGATGGGAGGTGAGGAGCTTGGGACACTGTTTACCCCTGCAAGCCGAGAGGAAATGGAGTGCAATCTGTCAAACGGGCTGCTTTTCATTTGGCTCAAAAGTTGCCTCGTCAATCCTGTTCTGGCAAGTGTTATGGCCAACCCCTCACGGAGTTTCCAAGGACACCACCCTGCCCTGCCTCAGGAAGACCTTCGAGGCCAGGGGGCTCTTCTCAGCTCTCACTGTGACTGTGTCAAGGTGCTGCCAACAAAGCCAAACATAACTGAAACAAGAACAAAACACAACTACCTATTATATGTGTGTGTCTGCAGATATACATACATACATATATATATATATATATATAAAATAAACTGGCACATATCTGAAATCTGCTACCTTATCATTTTTATTTATTATTATTTTGGTGTACTAGGGATTAAACTCACAGCCTTGTGCTTGCTAGGCAAGCACTCTACCACTTTAGCCACACACCAAGACCTTTGCTTTTTAGTCCATTTTTCAGACAGGGTCTCCTGTTTCTGCCTGGGCTGGCCTTGGACCGTCATCCTTCTGCCTGGGGCTTCTGGGTAGATGGGATTGCAAGCAAGTACCACCATGCCTGGCCCAGCCCAATACTTTACTATATGTCTAATGCACAGCTCACACATACACAAATACTTAGATCATAAAAAGATAAGAGTATTACTACTTGGTACTGTTTTAACTCAGAACCTTGTGCTTGCTAAGCGGATGCTCTACTACTTGAGCCATGCCCTCAACCCTTTTTGCTTTTATTTTTCAGACACAATCTCTCGTTTTTGCCTAGGCTAGCCTCGTACCATGATTCTCCTACCTCTGCCTCTGAATATCTGGGATTACAGGCATGTATTCCCATGCCTGGTTCCCCCCTTTTTTCAGTACTGGATATTGAACATTCTAGGCAAGCCCTCTACCACTTGAGATATATCCCCAGCCCTTTTGTATTTTGTTTTTGAGACAGTCTCAGCTAACTTTGCCTGAGGCCTACATCCTTCTGCATCCACCTCCTGAGTAGGTGGGATTACAGATGTGTATCATCACACCTGGCCCTGAGTCTCAGC